TTTCTCTTTCCATTGTATTTTTGCAGATTTCTCTCTCTTTTTCTGTTTCTTTTTGGCTTGTTTCCGCTAGTTTGCTTACCATGTCCTTTAGTGTGGTTTTCAACCTAGGAAGTTCATTAGAATTTGGATGTTCGTTACTGCAGCCCCTGAGTTTATGCACTGACTCTTGAATGTTCATTTCCTAACCTTCATTCACGGATAACATTTGAAACTTATCTTGAGTCACTTGCGAAGAAGTTATCTTTTTGAGGGAGTTTGGCTGATTGATTAGGGGAGTCCATTTTTGGAAAACTGTTCTGAGCACATGTAATTTGTCTAAAAGCTCTGGTTATTAGTGCTGCATGTAGTCAAACTCTTTTTTAGTCTCCCATTATCGATACGTATGGAAAGAACTTCATGTTTTAAACGGTAGTCCTTATTGGTTGATTGATTTAGAGGGTGAAACTTATAACTGTATTGAATCGGCTGTTGTCGACAAGTATGAAAATAGAAAAAAAACTATCTTTTTTAACGGTCTGGACCAATGTTCGTTATCAAATGCATCCATAAACAGTTTCCATTTTCAGTAAAAAAAAAAAAAAAATCTCTGGGTAAACCATTTTCGAATGCGTCCAAAATATGTTGGCAATAGTCTATACGTGTTCGAAAAAAGGTCGTTTTTGGCTTTCATTGTACATGTCATGTGTAATTAATGCTTGAAATCATAAATTCAAAAAATCTCAATCTAAAGGAGATGCCTTAAATTCCACCTGTTCAGGATGCCGCATAATAAATGTTATCAAAATGAGATTTTGCTTGTCCAAATTATCATCTCTTTATATCAGGACCTTAGGCATTTTTGGTAAAAATGTATAACAAATATTAAATTGTTAGTCAACGTGCAAAACTCGGCGCAGATTTCAGTATTTGGAGATGAATAATGTAATTAATATTCTTGAAGCTAAAGTTTGTAAGCAAGTCTTGAACTTTTTACCACTGGATTGTACCATTTATTCTGAACTGAGTGTGGACTTGAGCTGAACATCTTTATGCCCTGTCTTTTTTATCCTTTTCCTGTCCTGTTTTGTGTACCATCTCTCTTCTGTGGCATCAGATTGTGTTTATATACATTATCATCAGTAGTACAGCATAATAGGCAGACTAGAATCATTGAAAAATGGTTTGATGAACGTGCATTAGACTGACACATATTTTCAGAAGTGGAGATGATATGTGAAGTACTTATCTACATTTCATAATCGTATTTTCGTATATACAGATTGTTTTCACATGCTCAGCCATAAGCTTTTAATATCATGACCATTACTATATACCTTGGATATCGAGATCTTAAGACCCTAATTCTGTATCATGCTCTCACGTCGTTTTGCATGGATAGCTTTTTAAATGTTTCATAACGTATTTTTCCTCAAGTCATCAATTTATTCAAATAAATATTTACTTAACAATATTCATGTCTCATTGGGTGTTCTTCAGTTCTTTTGTAGCTAAATCCTGCATCTCTTATTATCTTTTCTGGTTTTCTTTCTCATGTTGTTATGCATTAGATTATTTACGTCATCTTCTGTAACATAGTCCTCTTTTCACTAACCAGTTTATCGAAATAACTACTTACAAAACGGTTTAACAATATTCGCATGTCCATCTTGATATGTTTCCCATCACATGATTTTTCCAGCTATCGCGTAATTAATTCTACATTCCTTTTTTAGCCAAATAAGGTACTTGCCATTATTGTCTGTATATTCCAAAAAACAGATTTGGGAACTATGGAGTGCAATAAGGATGACGCCGTACGAGCAAAATCTATAGCCGAGGCCAAGTTGGAGCTGAAGGACTACTCAGCCTCCAAAAAATTCGCTCTCAAAGCCCAAACACTATATCCTGGTCTCGTCGGCATTTCGCAAATGATAACGACCCTTGATGTGTACATTTCTGCCGAGAGGAAGATAAACGGGCTCATCGATTGGTATGGTGTGCTTGGTGTGGACCCCACAGCTGATGACGATACAATCAAGAAAAAGTACCGGAAATTGGCCCTCGTCTTGCACCCAGATAAGAACCGCTCTGCCGGTGCAGAGGACGCATTCAAGCTCGTTAACGAGGGATGGACTTTGCTCTCTGATAAGACCAAGAGGTTGGCCTATAACTTCATCACGAGTTTTACTACGCAGGCTCCTATGCATGCCGGTGGCCCATCAGTGTCACATGCTGGTGGCCGTGGGCCTTCCACATATTCGGCCCATGCTGGTGGCCCGTGGTCACAATATGACAGCTGGTCTGCCCAAACTGGTAGTGCATCAGCCCAAAACAGCTGTTCGCCTGAACCACCCATGGAAAGCCCATTTGCAAAATTTCTGAACAGAAAACCTCCAGCTCCTAAGGCATCGGCTCCAACACCGCCAAAAAAGAAGTCAAATGCAAAGGCGGCACCTTCCAAGCCATCCTCTTCTTCGACCAGTCCAAAAGTCGAGACCTTTTGGACCATCTGCAGTGTCTGTAAAATACAGTTTGAGTTTGACGTGATTTACCGTAATAAACTCCTCTTATGCATCGATTGCAAGAAGCCATTTTTGGCCACAGGGATACCTCGTCCAGTCAGACGCTGCTCGAAGAACACTGGCAACAACAACAACACTCCACCATCGGTTAAATCTGAAGGGAACAACAATGCCCCTACTCCACTCTCTGATACTGATATGGGACAGAATAACGCTTTCAACACTTCGAACTCGGAAACTGGCCCGAACATTTCCGCGTCCCAGGCTGCCCCACCACCACCTCCCACATCGGATAGCGACAACAAGGAAACGAAAATTGCTTCGGACGATCAAAAATGGGGACAACAAGAACTGATGAACCCGTATCAAACTCCGGACCAAAACGCCGACCTTGGGAATCCGAGCGAAATGCCCGCGCCTCATCCCAAAACGCTCAAGCTACGAAAGGCATACGGCCAGGGGCTTCTCGCGCAACTAGTCAAGAAGGCAAAAAGAAGAAGAAGAAGAAGAAGGAGTCCGACGGCTCCCATTGCCCGAAAGAAAGCGAAAATTGAGCGAAGCAACGACAAGGGACGACCGAGCAAAAGGACGAAATTGGGAAACAACAGCAGCACGGACGAGAAATACTCGGGGGAAACTATGGACGTCCCGGACCCGGACTTCCACAACTTCGACCGGGACAGAACCGAGCTTTCGTTCACCGAAAACGAAGTGTGGACCACTTACGACAACGAGGACGGGATGCCCCGTCTGTACGCGATGGTCCACCGCGTGGTGTCGAGAACCCCTTTCGAGCTGAAGATGAGCTGGCTTAACTCGAAGACGACCTCCGAGTTCGGGCCCCGACTCGACTGGGTCGGGTCCGGGTTTGCCAAGACGTGCGGGGAGTTTCGAGTCGGGAAGCACGAGGCGTGTAGGTTCGTGAATGCATTTTCTCATAGGGTGAGGTGCTGGACGAGGGGCCCGCGTGGGGCGATTGTGATATTTCCGAGAAAGGGGGATGTGTGGGCTTTGTACAGGAACTGGTCGGTTGAGTGGGGCCCGGAGACTCCGGAGGAAGTGGTGCGCGAGTATGACGTGGCGGTGGTGGTGGAGGTGGAGGTGGGGGAGAGTGGTGTGAGGGTGAGGAGGCTAGAGAAGGTGGGTGGGTATAGGACGGTGTTTCGGGTGAGTGGGGATGGAGAGAGGAGGATAACGAGGGAGGAGATGTTGAGGTTTTCGCATCAGGTGCCACATCATCAGCTGGAGCTGGAAGGGTGTGTGGAGCTTGACCCAGCGGCTTTGCCCATGGAGCTTCTGGAGAGGATGCCGAAGGATGGTGGTGAGGGGATGAGCGAGTGTCGGACTTTGTGAAGGTATTTTTATTTGTACATGTTTTTCTGAAGAGATGAGGAATGTTTGCACACGGGCACACACAGACACATAAAACAAAATTTTTCTGCTTCAAGAGTTTTTGAGGAAATGGGATAATTGGTGTTTTTTTGTTGTCCCTGGAAGCTGATAAGATATATATATATATATATATATATATTTTTTTTTNNGNNTNNT